GACACATTCTAAAGTTCTAGGTAGACATGGATTTTGGGAAGACACTATTCCACTCACTCAATACAATATGTATTATTTTGTGTTCGACTTCTTTTGTTAAACATTATAGTTTAAAGACTCACCTGTACTGTTGAATGTAGCTGTACCCCATTCATTTTCATTGCTGTATAGTCTTCCATTTTGTGATAACATTACATTACAGTTCAGAGTAGGATATACTGCAAAGCTAACAAATCTTTAGGTTCAAGGGTCCTCATCCTCACAGACCTCTTCCAAGACTCTAACAATGTGTTCACATGATCAAATATTTTTTGCATAATTTGCAGAAGTAATTTGTTATATTTTCTCATTTTATTTTATTTATTTATTTTATCCTCACCTGAGGACATTTTCCCATTTTTTGTTCAGATAGAGTGAGAAGGAGAGAGAGAGAGAGAGAGAGGAGGGAGAGAAACATCAGCGTAAAAGGGACACATCGAGCGGCTGCCCTCCTGCACGACCCAACCAGGGCCAGGGACAAACCGCAACTGAGGTACGACGTGCCCTTAGCGGAAACTGAACCCGGGACTCTCTGGACCGCAGGCTGATGCTCCAACCGCTAAGCCAAACCAGCCAGGGCTTATTTTACTTTATTTTTTCTTTTTCTTTTTTTTTTTTTATCCTCACCCAAGGACATTTTTCCCTTTTTTTTTTTGTTCAGATAGAGTGAGAGGGAGAGAGAGGAAGAGAGAGAGAGAGAAACATCGACGTGAAAGGGACACATCGAGCGGCTGCCACCCGCTCGACCATCCAGGGCCGGGGACAAACTGCAACGGAGGTACATGCCCTTAGTGGGAACCGAACCCGGGTCTCTCTGGACCGCAGGCTGACTCTCTAACCGCTGAGCCAAACCGGCCAGGGCTATTTTTTCTTCTCTTTATTGATTTTTAGAGATAGAGGGAGAGAGAGAAACACCGATAAGAGAGAACATCCAGTGGCTGCCTCCTGCATGCCCCCCACTGGAGATTGGGCCCACGACCTGGGAATGTGCCCCGGTGGGAATCGAACCAGCAACCATTGGTGCTTGGTGCCTGGGTCAATGCTCAACCACTGAGCCACACCAGCCAGGCTATATATTTTCTCATTTTAGGTATACCTCTTTCTTGCTTAACTGCCCTGGATAGAAGCTCCAGTATAATGTTAACTAAAAGTGGTGAAAGCAGACATCCTTGTCTTAATGCTGATCTCAAGGGGAAAGCTTCAGTCTTTCATTATTAACCGTGATGATATCTGTGGGGTTTTTTGTAGATGCCCTTTATCAGGTTGAGGAAGTTCCCTTCTACTTCTGGTTGTTAAATATTTTGATCATAAAAAGATGAATTTTGTCAAATGCTTTTTTGGCATGTATTGAGATGATCATGTGGTTTTTGTCCTTTATTATATTAATATATTGTATTCCATTGTTTGATACTTATAAGTTGAACCAAGCTTGCATTCCTGAGACAAATCTTCTTTGTCATGGTGTGATATCCTTTTCACTTGTTGCTGGAATTGGTTTGCTATTTTGTTAAGATGTCTGCATCTATATTCATAAAGGATGAATTGCTTTTCATGTGTTGTCTTTGGTTTTGGTATCAGGGTAATACTGGTGTTCTCTCCTCCCTCTCTTATTTTTAAAAGTTTGTGAAGAACTAGTGTTAATTCTTCCTTAAATGTTTGTCCTCATGCTAATTAAATACTTGCTTTCATGATGAATTTGTTATTTTGTATTCTTCTACTTTAAAAGGGTCCCCAAATTGTGTGTTTCAGCCCCCACTGAGTGGGATCTCTCCCACTATCCATTGTATTGTTTATGGACTGTTGGGTTGTTTTCAGTTTGAGATTCTTATGAACACAGTACTGCTGTGAACGTTTTTGCACTTATCCCGGTACACATGCAAATCTAAGGGCACACAGCTACAGCAGAAGGGCTGGCTCAGTGTGCATAATGCCAAATTGATGTCCTCAGCTTTCTCCAAGTCACACTCCTACTAACATTGTATGGGAGTTCCTGCTGCTCCACATCCTCACCAACACTTGGTATTGTCAGATTTTAATATTATAACTATTATTTTTGTTTGTTTGTTTTTTGTTTTATCCTCACCCGAGGATATTTTTCCTTTTTTTGTACAGATAGAGTGGGAGGGAGAGAGAGGAAGGAGAGAGAGAGAGAGAAACATCGATGTGAAGGGACACATCGAGTGGCTGCCACCCGCACGACCAACCAGGGCCGGGGACAAACTGCAACCGAAGTACGTGCCCTTAGCGGGAACCGAACCCAGGTCTCTCCGGACCGCAGGCCGACGCTCTAACCGCTGAGCCAAACTGGCCAGGGCTAATATTATAACTATTATAATAAGTGTGTGGTGGTGTCTTAACATGTTAATTTGTTAGGTTAAACCGTATGAAATTGCCATGTTGTGGGTCAAAATGGTCAAATACAATTTCACGAGTCAACTTAATATGTCTCTGATGATGAAGTAGAGCATGTTTTCATGTATTTAGTGACCATTTGGATTTCCTCTTTTATGAAGTGCCCATAAGAATGTTCCTAAGAGCTTTATTCGTCATAGCCAAACACTGGAAGCAACCCAAATGTCATCAGTAGGAGAATGAATTAAAAAATCATGGTATATTTACATAAAGGAATATTACTCAGCAATAAAGAATTACTTCCACATGCAACAATACAAACCAATCTCAAAAATATTGTATTGATCAAGAAAAGCCTGAAAAATTTGGGGAAAAAAATCTGTAAAGAAGAGTACACATGGTTCCATAAATAAAATTTGTGGAATTCAAAAAGTCACATCTATAATAATGCTTCGTCAACCTTCTGTGTCTTCTTGTTTTGGGTGTATCATTTGTAAACAACTATAATTTTTTATATCAAGTCTCACAATCTTTGTATTTTAACTGAAATATGTAGTTCACTTATTCTGCTTTTAAATAACCTTACTGAGATATAATTAGTCAACTTATTTAGAATGTTATATTTAACTACATATATTTGGGTTTCATTCTGCCATCTTAGTGCTTTCTAATGCTTCCTTTTTTCTCATTTCTCCTTTTGAATTTTAAAAAATTATCCCTGTAGTTTTAGTATAAAAATGTTCAAACATACAAAAATTTTAAAAACTAGTACAATGAAATCATCTCTCCATTAGAGGCAAGCCTTTTCGACCCGAGTCAATCCTTTTCACTATTTTACCTTACTCACACATATATACATAATATGGTTTAGCTGAACCATTTGAAATAAAGTTGCAGAATGGACTGATTAAAAAAACTTTTTTTCTTTATTGATTTGAGAGAGGAAGGCAGAGGGAGAAATAGAAACATTGATGAGTGAGAACATCGATTGGCCACCTCCTGCATGCCCCACACTGGGGACTTGGCCCACAACCTGAGCATGTGCCCTGACCAGGAATCGATCCGGTGACCTTCTGGTTCATGGGTCAATGCTTAGCCACTGATCCACACTGGCCAGGCTGGACCAATTATTTTTTTAAATATCCCATTTAACCCCCATCAATTAGTTTGAAGTTGTATTAGTTTCCCAGGGCTACTGTAACAAAGTGCTAAAAACGAGGTGGTTTAAAACAATAGAAATTTGTCTTAAGAGTTCCAGAAGCTAGAATTCCGAAATCCAGGTTTCAGCAGGGTCAAGCTTCCTGAGTCCTCTAGGGGAATCCTTCTTCTTCCTAGCTGGTGGTTTGCCAGTGATCTGGCATTCCATGGCTTGTAGATGCATCTCTCCAATCTCCCATTTTACATGGCACCCCCCCCCCCCCATGTCTTCCTATCTTCTCTATGCATGTCTGTGTCCAAAACTCCTGTTTTTGCAAGGACACAGACATATTGGATTAGGGCCCACCCTGATGACCTCCTCTCGATCATCTGCAAACGCCATATTTCCAAATATGATCACATTGACAGGTACCAGGGTTAGGAGTTCAGCATCTTTTTTGGAGGACACAATTCAATCCACAACAAAAGCTATATACTTTTAATATTCTTTTAGTGATTTTCCTAAAAATTACAATAGGTACCTTGACTTCAAAGTATAAATTGATTTCTTCACTTTCCAGATAATGCAAGCAGCTTAGTGTACTTGAACCTATTGTCCTCTCCTGAGTTTTATGCTACTGTGGTCATATAGTTTAATTATATATAATTTAAACCCCACAAACATTATTATTGCTTTATGATCATAAGAGTTTAAGACATAAATGGTCATATTTATATAAAAATTTTCATATTGGTATCTGAAAAATTAGAAAAAGACAACACAATTATTTTGGTGAGTTTACAAGGAGACTGACTTTTCCTATTTTGATTTTTTCAGTGATAATCATTTTCTGTAGTAACACAGGGTGGGCAAAAGTAGGTTTACAGTTGTAATACAAATGCAATATTAAATAATACAAGAATAACTGTGTTTTGTGTACTCACAACTGTAAGCCTACTTTTGCCCATCCCTCCTGTATATTAGCAATCAAGTAATGCCAGCAGCTGCTGAGAAGTGAACACGATGAACGGTGATGCTGAAGCCCAGACTGTGCTCTTCTCTTTGCAGTGCCTGGGTGGGGTAGGGAGGGACGGTAGAGGGTGGGAAACAGCCTGGGAGGCGGGGGGCTGATGCCGAGTGCTGAGACCTCACTGGGCTAAGCTGGGCTTCATTATTCCGGAAATGGAAGTAGGGAAGAGCATCAAGGCCACTCGCCAGAGGGAGGACTGCAGATGGGAGAAATGACCCTTCCATTGTGGACCCACCGCCCTTTACCCACTTCAGGCATGAGCTTAAGGAAGAGAAAAGAGACGGGAAATCAGGCCTCCACCAGCTCCCAGGAGTTGTGGTCTCCTCTCCCTGCACCCCAACCTCCCCTCTGTTCTGGTTCCAGAGGTTTAAGCCAGGCCGGACCTCCACCCCTCCAATTGCCAAATAAGCACAACAGAATGAGTTTAAGTGAAAAATCCACTTTAATAATCCAGCTTCAGCTCAGCTGAGAACTTCCCCTCTCGAGTGCAAGAGAAGTCTTTCCAAGAGGCCTCAATCCACTAAGAGGTTACGGCTCAGAGAAGGGTACAGCTCAAAAAAGCCCTAAAATGAGAGGCAACATGGGATTGGGAATCAGTGGAGACCAGATGGGGGTGCCCCACCACTCACCTCCCACCAACATAGGCCCCAGCAAGAGAAGCATAGTAGCTTCACCCACACTTAACAACTGCCTCAATCTTCCCATCCCTGATCCCTTCTCTGTCCCATTATCCTTTGGGGCTATCAGGATCCCTGAACCCTGAAAAAAATAGGGACCCTTCTTTTTCTACATGGTAGCGCCAAGACAACCAGCCCCATCACCTAGGCCTGTCACTCAGTGATGATGTTGCCCCAGTAACCAATCCAGGCACTGGAGGAGGAAGAGCCCAGCCTCGATGGCGAGGGGTGAGGTGGGAGTTACCTTGAAGAGGGTGATGGTCTGGAGCACTCCTGTGGTGCAGGCTGTCTCCCGGATGGAGTGCATGGCCAGTTGTGGGCTGCCTAAATCCAGTACACGCAGCCCCAGCCGAGAAGCCAAGATAGGGCCAATGGTGGACCCACAGGTGGAATCATTCCGAACCATGAATTCCTGGGGAGAGGCGAAGAGGTTTACAAGCAACATGTAGTCTGTGCTCATTAAGGCCAAGAAGGAATTCACCTTACAACTGCAAGGCTGAAAGGGGCCTGGCAAATGGCCCACTTCTACCCACCGAGAGTGGATGTGACCACCTAAAATCACAAAACCAGTGTTAAATGGCAGGCCCAAAGCACAGTATATTCTGAATCGCTCCTACTCTCTCCATCTACACTATCACCACACCAGTTCCAGCTACCATCATCTAGCCTCCCATAAGGAATCCATTCTCCACACAGCGAGCAGGGGAATTCTTATTTTATTTTATTTTTTGTTAATCCTCACCCAAGGACATTTTTCCATTGATTTTTTTTTATAGAGAGTGGAAGGGAGGGAGGAAAAGAGAGACAGAGAAACATTGATTTGAGAGACACAATGACTGGCTGCCTCCTGCACCAGGGCCAGGGATTGAACCTGCAACCCAAGTATGTGTCCTTGACCAGGAATCAAACCCTTTGATCTTCAGGCCAACGCTCTAACCGCTGAGCTAAACCGGCCAGGGCAAGCAGGGGAGTTTTTTTTTTTTTTATCCTCACCCGAGGACATTTTTTCCATTTTTTTTGTTCAGGTAGAGTGGGAGGGAGAGAGAGGAAGAGAGAGAGAGAGAGAGAAACATCGACGTGAAAGGGACACATCGAGTGGCTGCCACCCGCACAACCAGCCAGGGCCAGGGCCAAACTGCAACCGAGGTACATGCCCCTAGCGGGAACCGAACCCGGGTCTCTTGGGACCGCAGGCTGATGCTCTAACCGCTGAGCAAAACCGGGCAGGGCTGGAATTTTTTTTTTTAAATATTTTTTCTTTATTGATCCCAGAGAAAGAGGAAGGAAGAGAGAGAGACAAAAGCATTGATGAGAGAGAACACTGACCAGCCGCCTCCTGCAACCCCCGCCCCCCCGCAACAGGAAATGAATTAGCGACCTCCTGGTGCATGGGTCAACGCCCAACCACTGAGCCACACCAGGGACTTTTAATATAAGTACTTTTTATGTCACTCTCTTGGTTAACATGCACTCACCATCTCCCACCCCATACACACACAAAGAAAAACCATTCCACAGTTTTAGTGTTTTGTAAAAATATTGCTATTGGCATTTTAAAACTATTTTTTTGTATTCCAATAAAAAAAGTAAACAAGAAAATCATGTTAGATATCAAGATTTTAGTGTAAGGAAAAGGCAGAATTATAAAACCAAATAAATTAAGTAATAACTATTCTTATTTTTAAAATAAGAATTATAGTACTGCCCTGGCCGGTTTGGCTCAGCAGTTGGAACGTCAGCCTGTGGACCACAGAGTCCTGGGTTTGGTTCCCGCTAGGGGCATGTACCAAAAAAGAAAAAAGAATTATAGTATTAACTCATGATTTTCAAAATACATACACTTTCTCCTAGCTATGCCCCACACCCTCCCAACAATGAACACTCATGGTGCCAGACCATGATCTCTGACATCATTTCCCATTAAAAGGAACCAAGTCTAAGGAAGGAAATGAACAAGATGTGCCTGCAGTTTCTTATTGTGCTGAAAAGCAGGAAACCTTTAGAGTCATGTCAAAATACACAGACAGGAGTTACACTAGAAGGACCCCTATTGGTCAAAGTTATAACAATTTGAGAATGAAATTAAATGATTATAGTGCATCAGAAAACACTGAACCAATGAAAATACGACTTTATGAGAGTGAGAAAAGGAAAAGAAAAAAAATCTATTTGCCATCATTTGAGAAGGCTATTAAAATACTTCCTCTTGCCCTGGCCGGTTTGGCTCAGCGGTTAGAGCGCCGGCCTGCGGTCCGGAGAGACCCGGGTTCGGTTCCCGCTAAGGGCATGTACTTCGGTTGCAGTTTGTCCCCGGCCCTGGTTGGTCGTGCGGGTTGCAGCCACTCGATGTGTCCCTTCACATCGATGTTTCTCTCTCTCTCTCTCCCTTCCTCTCTCTCCCTCCCACTCTATCTGTACAAAAAATGGAAAAATATCCTTGGGTGAGGATAAAAAAAAAAAAAAAAAAAAAAAAAAAAAAATACTTCCTCTTGAAAATTAGTTATTAAAGGAAAAAAATTAGCATTTATACTGTCTTTCTTCATAACCAAATAGCCCTAGATGATGGGGGGAAATTCCACTTCACAGAACAATGGAAGCTAATAAATGTGAAAGGGATGAAAGGTAGAAGAAATGAATTAGGGGGCGGGGGTGTTCAGTAAACTCTAATGAAATTATTGATTTAGGCAAGGATTATCATTGGTGTTAAATGTATGGATTATGGGGACTCATTGCTCATATAGGTTACTGTCCAGTCCAAGGAGAAAAAAAAAACCAGATGTAGGGATTGAAGGGCGATTTCAGTTTACAGAAAATACAGGGGTTAGAGGCACAAGCTAAACACCACCATGGAAAAGCAACCAAAAAAATCCAGAAAGTGAGAATTATATGGAATGATCAGCCTGGTTTCTTTACAAGCCAAGAAGTCAAGGTTATTTAAAAAAAGAGGGGAGGGGGGTGTGCTAATTTAAAAGACACTCAAGCAACATATCACCCAAATATAACATGTGGTCCTGAACTGAATACTAAGTTGGCACAAACAACTATAAAGAATATTTTTAGGATAATGGGAAAATTGAAAATGATCTGTGCTTTAGATGAGATACAAATTTACTCAATCAAAAACGTACTGAAATAGAAAGGGGAAGAGTACTGAGTGAAAAGAGGAAGCAAAAGAAATATGATTTCATTTTTTTTTTTTTTTTTAATCCTCACCCGAGGACATTTTTGCATTTTTTTGTTCAGACAGAGCGGGAGGGGGAGAGAGAGAGAGAAAAACATCGATGTGAAGGGACACATTGAGTGGTTGCCACCCGCACGACCAACCAGGGCCGGGGACAAACTGCAACCGAGGTACGTGCCCTTAGCAGGAACCGAACCCGGGTCTCTCTGTACCGCAGGTGGACGCTCTAACCGCTGAGCCAAACTGGCCAGGGCTGATTTCATTTTTTTTAAATGTGTTAAGTATATGCATAGAAAATAATCTGGAAAAATATACATACACTTCTAGGGATTAATGTTTGTTTTATTTTTAATTTTTATTTCTTTTTTTTAAATGTTGATTTTAGGGAGCGAGAGAGAAACATGGATTTATTGCTCCACTTATTTAAGTGTTCATTGGTTGATTCTTGGATGTGCCCTGGCTTTAGTGGAGGAAGTGACTACATACGTAGAGGAAATAAAAGGAGAACTGAAACTAGAAGTGGAGCCTGAAGATGTGACTGACTCACTGCAATCTCATGATCAAACTTCAATGGATGAGGAGTTGCTTCTAAGGGTGAGCAAAGAAAGTGGCTTCTTGAGATGAAATTTATTGGTGAAGATGCCGTGAAGATGGTTGAAATGACCACGAGGGATTTAGAGTATTACACAAGTCTGGTTCATGAAGCAGCTGGCTGCAGGGTTTGAGAGGACTGACCACAATTTTGAAAGAAGTTATGCTGTGGGTAAAATGCTATCAAACAGCACTGCATGCTACTGAGCACTCATTCATGAAAGGGAGAGGCAACTGATGCAGCAACCTTCACCGCTGTCTTACTTTAAGAAACTGCCAGTCACCACAACCTTCACCAACCACACCCTGATCCGTCAGCGACCATCAATATAGAAGTAAGACCCTCCACCATAAAAAAGATTACAACTTGCTGAAGGCTCAGATGATGGCTAGCATTTTGTTTTTAAGCAATAAAGTATATTTTCATTTCTTGATTGGTTTTTTAGAGAGAGAAGGAAGAGGGAGGGAAGAAAGGAGAGAGAAGGAGAGGGAGAGGGAGAGAGAGAGAGAGAGAGAGAGAGAGAGAGAGACTTCGTATTCCACTTATTTACACACGCATTGGTTGTTTCTTGTACGTGTCCTGACCCACAACCTTGACAAATTGGGACAGCGCTCTAACCAACCAAGCCACCAGACCAGGGCAGCAATAAAGTATTTTCAAATTAGAGTATATATATTATTTTTTAGATGTAATGCTATAGCATACTTAATGGACTACAAAACAGTGTAAACATAACTTTTATATGCACTGGGAAATTCCAAAATTCACGTGAATAGCTTTAATGAAATACTCACTGTATTGTGGAGGTCTAGAAAGGAACTCACAATCTCTCTGATAAGCCTGTCTCCAAATCTATACCTATGACTAGACGGGCCACCGCCAAGGCAAAAAGAAAAATGAGCAGTTGGAGTTCCAAGCTCCCCAGCCCTGAAATTCCCTTATGGGAGCCCCAAGGGTGTGTAAGAGACACAGGTGAGCTGGGGGTGCCAAATGGGAAAAGGGCAGGACTAACTCACCCTGTGCCAAGAGCACACTGTACCTTCAATCCTCAGAGAAATCCGGCAGAATAGCCCCATTTTATGAGTGTGGAAACTGAGACTCAGAGAAGTTAGACTAGTCCAAGGTCATAAGGCTAGTACCACAGCAGAACCAGCATCGATGCCAACTCTGCCTATATCTAAAACCTCTGTTCTTCCCACTCTACTGAGATCTCCTCCACTAAAGGCTGTCTACCATGCTCCCTCATTGGGGGCCATCTGCTTGTGCCCCCCAGTCCCTCCATCACCCCTTCCGAGGCAGTGACCGCCCTTACCTGCAGGGGTACCCCGACATTGTTGGCCACCCTGCGGATCAGGGCCTCTGAAACCGCATTCGAGGCATAGCGCTGCTTGCTGTTCACCTTGATCACAGGGCCCTGGGGAGAGGGAAACCAGGAGTCGAAGGTGAGGCAGAGGGGGGCCCAGAACCAGCCAAGCTGGTAAGTCCTTAACAAGAAACAGGAGCATCTCACCTTGTGGAATAAGGGCCGGTGGTTCTCCTCATGCTTGTCCCTGTAAGAGCCAGTTTAAGGGCAAGAGATGACAAACAGAAGCTGGGCCTGACAACAACCCCCCTCCCCCGCAAGAGATGTCACTAAAGGATCACAGCACGCTTTTCCCCACCAGCCCTCCGGCAGCACCTCAGTCATGCCAAATGCATGTTCTAGGCAGCCTCTAGTGATCGATGGAAATAAGTCTGTAGATAGAGCCTATTCAACATGGCTTAGGCATTACATGACTTGGCCCAAGCTTGGCCTTGGAGACTCAGAAGGAAGCAGTCAAAAGGAAGCAGTCAAAAGGAAGTCCGCACTGAACCTCTCAGTTGAATGAGGAAGGGGGAGGGGGAAGAAGTCAGGGCTTAGGTTCCGCCCAGGTCTCCAGCTACATGAGGATTGTGTGGCTGCATGCCTGGCATGGTGCACTCACACGTAGTTGGGGTGCACAGCATGGGCCATGTCTGCACTGATCATGTAGGACTTGGGTATGGCTTCCTCGAAGGCCGTCAGGTGCACGGGTGAGGCCGAGATCCGCCGCAGCACCAACTCTGTGAGCAGTGACTGTGCCCCTTGGGCACTCTCAGACCCCACCTGAAAAGAGCAGAGACCTGGCTCTGGGGGGGTCTGGGCTGAGGGGCCTGAGGTGGAGGCCAGGGAGAGGGGCCCAATGCCCACACTGGCCCAGGACCCCATTGAGTCAGTGGGTGAGGAACACAGGGTGTTATCAGCAACTTTCCCAACCTTGTGTCACCAAAAAACGGATGGTGGGCTGAGGTCAAAGTAATCCCCAGTCACCTCTGGGGCAGAAACAGCACCTTCTAGTGGACTTCTGCACTGCCCTCCTCCTTCTCCTGACCCTTGTGACTAGGGCTCAGCACAGCTGCCTCACACAAGGATGAATCTTTTATGCATGGGATAGAGACTCTAACTGTCCATGATTGTCTTTTTTTTTTTTATCCCCGCCCGAGGACATTTTTGCATTTATCTTCAGATAGAGCAGGAGGGAGAGAGGGAGGAAGAGATAGAAACATTGATGTGAGAGAGACACATCGAGTGGCTGCCACCCACACGACCTCAAAAGGGGCCGGGGACAAACTGCAACCGAGGTACATGCCCTTAGCAGGAACCGAACCCGGGCCTCTCTGATCTGTGTGCTGACGCTCCAACCGCTGAGCCAAACTGGCCAGGACCATGATTATCTTCTATAACAGAACACCCAAGCTATAGCTAAGCACATGACTTCCCAGTTAGAGATGACATTCCTAGCTTCCCCTGAAGCTACACACGGCCATGCTAAGCTCTGTGGAATGTAGGCTGGGACGAATGCCACCTTAGAGATGGACATGCGTCCCCTACGCACTCTTCTCCCTTCCTACCGACTCAGCACAGACGTGATGCCTGAGCTGGAACAGCCACCCTGGATCCTGACATGGGAGCCCTGTGTTCAGGATGGCAGACACCTGTCCTGAGCTGCTAACTCTGACCTGTGCAGTGACATGAGAGAACTACCCAGCTGTACAAGTTCTGTTACAGCATCTAAGACTGCACCCCAGCACAAGCAAGAATAATGAGGACCCACTGTGTGCAGAGCCTCTGAGGATGAAAGGGCACAGTCCTTGTGGCACACAGAGACATATGGGAGGTATGGTCACACTAGAGGCAGATAAACACTGAGCCGGAGGGGACCAAATGCTCAGCGAACACGGGCAGCATCTCCCCTGCTGGCTCACACTGGGTGCCTGGCACAGGCTGGCCATGGAAGACTCTCCAGAGGGGGCCTTCCCCAGAGCCCGCCATGACGTACTTCTTCGTTGTCGTAGAGGGCAATCATCCGCACATGGGGATCCAAGGCTAGGGAGGCAGGGGCTGCGCAGGAATCAATCAAGGCCTGGTTTGGGGAGAGACCAAGAGCATCACGCTCACCCCTCTTGCTTCCGTAACAGCCCACCAACACCTCAGAGGTGCCTATCCCTACCCACTGATGTTCTCCCGTACCTCTCCATGCAAAAGGCAGGCGGGTGTGTAAGGAGGGGAAGGGCTGAAAATCCCATCAAGTCAAAAGAACCACACAGATCATGCAAACTAATTGGCCTCAGTGAAGATTGAGACCCAATAGGGCAACTGTGGCTCCATCAAAGCGACATGACTGATTGACTGGTGGCAGAAGTGGGTACGAGTCCCAGGTATAGCTCAGGTCTCAGTTACAGCCCAAAATCTGTCTCTAAGAACAGGACAAAGAGGGAAGGAGAGGTGTGAAAAGGGCAGAGGAAGGGGTGAGGGTAAGAGGAAAAAGGTGAGAATATCAAGGTGGCCAGGAGGACGAGAGACTACATCCCTGAGATCTCAAGGCACAGAGAGAGGGCTGGGGTGTGGGGGTGGGGAGGAACAGAGGGAGATGGACGATACTGCCTGAGGGGCTAAGGCCTTTCCCTGGAAGCAGAGGTTAACTTAAAAAAGAGGCAGCAGGAGCAGGATTAGGACAAGACACTATGGTGCCCTAAACAACCACTCAGCCTTCCCCACTGCAGCCCCAGCCTCCGGACCAACGCAAGGATGGAGCCAAGAGGCTGCAGCACTGTGGCCCCTCCTTCTGGTCCACCAGCGGACTTCTGGGGTGGCCAACAGCTGTCTCACAACTGCTGAGGCTTGAGGCAGTCCCCCAACCCCATCATTCCACCTCTCCTGGAGCTGTGTGCCCCCTGGAGGTACCCCAGCTCACCTGCAGGGCACAGAAGCAACTATGCAGGTTGTCCAGTCGAGGCGCAAAGATGAACTCCTCATAAGCACCGCCCAGGACCTAGGAAGACAGGACAATCAGCCTGACCTTTAAACCCTCATCCCAACTCACCTGCTTTTCTCTGCTCTCAAGGGCCTGAGCTTGAGCTACCTCTTTGGTTCCTTGCGCAACCTCTCCCTGACCTCTGGCTTAGGACTACGATACTGCTGTGCAGGGCTGAGTAGAGAATGGGGTTGGCCTGGAGCAGAGGGATGGAGGTTGCAGGCCTGTAATTCCTACCAGTTCTTATGTGACAGGAAAAGGGAGGATCTGAATGGTCACAAGAAAAACTAAGGAGCCCGGCTAGTGTGGGTCACTTGGTTTAGCATTGTCCCAAACACCAAGAGGTCGCTGGTTGGATTGCCAGTCAGGGCAAATGCCTGGGGTTGCAGGCTCAATCTCCAGCAGGGGGCGGGTAGGATGCAGCCAATTGATGTTTCTCCCTCATCGCTGTTTCTATGCCTCTCTCCCTCTCCCTTTCTCTCTCTGAAATGAATAAAAACATACTTAAAAAAATAAGAAAGAAAAACTAAGGAAACAAACAAAGGAGGAGACCAGCCAAAACACAGGAACTTAGTGCACAAACAGAAGCAAACATACAAAGCCTTAGCAATCTCCTACGGGAGGCAACTGGTAGGGACACGAGGGTGGACTCCAGGAAAAGGGTGGCCACAACGAGGCCTCTGATTCTCAGAGGGTCAGAGCCAGTATGGGTCCCAGTAGACAGGCCCACCTGTAGTAGCAACTCCAAGGGAATCTGTGGAAAAACTGATCCCCAAACCCCATACCAGAGTCCAAGGAAGCAGGTCTAGAGTGGGAAACTGCCATTTTTTGAGAACCACTGCCCTGGAGGCAGAGGTGGGTGGTGTCTACTGGGAACAGAAACGAGAGTAACTCAGGGACTAGCAGAGTTGATGAGTGCAGGCCAGGATCCCCCCAAGTTCCTGCAGCCGTTCCTCACCGCAGGCTGGGTGTCTGCAAGGCAGAGCTCCATTTCCAAGATGTCCTCGGGGCTCAGCCCCAGCTGGCCACAGAGAAGAGACATGAGGACCGAGTGGTGCCGGTCATCCTGCAAGGCAGAAGGATGTTGGGAGGGGGGGTCTGCTCTCCTCCTCCTCTCCGCTTCTCAGGGATTCAGTCCTTTCCCCACCTGCTCACCCCTCCCCGTGAGCAGGGGACTGTCTTACTGCAGTATTGAGAGGTCCTTGCTCAGGAGTCCCCTTCTCCAGCTCCTCCTGGACTGCTGTGGCAAGAATGGGGACTCTAGGGGAGACAGATGAGGAGGGGTTGAGGGGAGGGTTAGAGGGCACAGCAGGGCGTGGCACCCTTGAGCTCAGGCATCTCCTGGTGGGGTGCCTTTGCTCTTTAATTCCCAGTTTACTCTCCAGCCTCCACACGGCAGAGTTATGAGCCCCCTTGGACATCAACTGGGTCCTAAGAGTAGAACCTGACTGTGGCTAGCATTAGGTAGTACTCTCCAGGTCCCACTGGGGCCCCTGCCATCACCTGGTGCCACACCCCATTCCTCCCAGTCACCAAGCCCTTGCCCCAGTCTCACAAGTGCGTCTCCATGTTGGGCCCAAAGTTCTCATTGACATTTCGTTGTAGGTGGATGGCCAGGTGCGGAATGCGAAGAATGGGCCGGTCCACATGCACCAGCCGCTGCTCCAGCCGATCTGAGGTCGGGCACTGTGGCCAAACAGGCCAGGTCAGCCCAGGGTGCCTCCCAACCACAGTTGGTTAAAGCCCCTACTTCATACAAACTAACCAAGGTGGTCTCCTGACCTGGACTGCCCCCACCCCCCTTCCCCAGGGGGTGTTCTCCACAGGTAACCTGAAGGAAGATGGCAGTCAATCATCAGGCAGTTGATGCTGAGAACCTCCCAGGTTCAGTTACTACCTTGACAATGATGCGTCCAGCCAAGGTCAGGTCACGGTCAAACCAGGTGCTCCAGATGCCACCACCATAGGTCTCCACGCCAACCTGCTGGAATCCTACCTGGCTGCGGCGAGAGCGCCGTTTCACCTGAGTGTGAAGATGGAGAATGAGAAGTCAGAGAAGCCTGCATGACGACTTGGAGATGACACAGACTGTCACAAGCTAAGTAACACAATGAATACCAGTGACAAAGAAGGTCCCAAAGTATGGAAGAAGGGGTTGAACAAGCCAAGCCTTCTTCCCTGCTTCAGGGAATGCTGCCCCCAACATGTACCTCCTGGTTCTTTTCTGCCCTGTCCCTGCCCCCACCCCATGCCTACCCCCATCAGCACGGCCCAGGTTCCTTACCCGAAGGCAGGGGCTGTCCGTATGGGCGCCAATGAGGCTGAAACCATTGCCAGGAACATACTTGCCTCCCACAGCAAAAGCGATGATGGTGGAGGAATTCCTGGTCAGGAAGTACTGGGCGGGAGGAGGGGGATGTTGCTGAATTGCATTAGCCTGCCAGCTGGCACATAGGACTTTAAGCCCCAGCCTAGGGACCTATCTTTTGGTCCTCACCCCACCCCTAGTACCTTGCTCTCGGGCTTGATATCCCAGCTTTCCGTCTCCTTGAGTTCATGGAAACCAGCCTGGAGGAGGCGATTGCGACACTCCGCCACAACTGTAGGGAAAGAACACGCTCAGAGCGATAGATGCCAATCGGGAGCACACCGGCCCCCACCCTCCTTCACTTACCGTGGAAAGGAGAGGGACTCCGGTTCACGAACTTGAGGAGCTCCCGGGCTGCAGCCTGCACCGCCTCTTTGGGGGCTCTTCCGTTCATGGCCACCTAGGGGAGGGGGCGCTCAGACGTTCTGGGGACTTCCACCCTAACCACCGAAGTGGCTGCTCCAAGGCTCAGGCCTCTGCTTCCGCGCCTGGCCCCACGGAGAGACGCACAAGCCTGGCCGAACCTCTATCTGCTGAAAGCTGAGGCCCTCCAGGCAAAGTATCAGAACCCAGAGCGCTCCCCGCCCAGCTCCTCCAAGACGCCGCGCCTCCTAATCCTTAGGCCGGCCCCCTAAGCCACACCACGTGCCCGCCCAGCGGAGACGTGGGTCCCGATCTCCGAGTTCCCAAGCCGTTCCCTAACTCTGGTCCCCTTCCCGAAATTAAAGCCCTGTTCTCCAGGGAGTAGCTCAACTACCCTCCACGCTTCTCCCCTGCCCCCCAGTCCCTCGCAGGCCACCCCTTTCCAACCCCAGGAAGGTCAGGTCACCCGGGGCCGGACTTTCGGATTCGCTTTGGGATGGGCACGGCCCCAACCCAGGGTGCTGCTGAGCTCGGGCCGGAGCCGGCGCCGGGCTGGGTCGCAGACAGAAACTCGGACGGGCGGGCGGTGGTCACCTACCTGCATTGGCCTCACTCGTGGGCCGATTTTACTCGCCAGGCCCCCGGACTTGACCAGGCTCCACTCTCGCCTCCAGGTCCGGTCCGCCCCGCCCCGCCCCGCGCCGCGCCCCGCGGCCCCGCCCCGCCCCGCCCCCACCGTTCTCCGGGCCCCTCTCCAGGTCTCCCGGCCCGCCCTGCCCCCACCGTCCTCGGAGCCCCTAGTCCGGCCTCGCCAGCCACCCCGCCCCCGCTCTCCCCGTGCCCTCCGTGGCGATGGTGGGTGCCCTCTACCGCACTGGAGGTAGTATAACAGCCTCCAAACACCGTCCCCATCCCTCCTGGAGGTCAGAAAGTCCGAGAAAAAGCTCACCGTCTCCAGCTCACCTGGTCCGATGGGGGCTGTACAAAGTGGTCTCTCTCGCCACAGGCACCCTCGATGATAAAAGCAACGTGGCTAATGGTCATGGAGCGCTCACCATGAACTTTAGCTTTATGGTAAAGCTTAACGTGTCATTTAATCTTCACAATTGCCCTAACAACTTGGTACTTTTACTGTCATCATTTTATGTATACATACCAGTCACCTGTCCAAAGAAGTACATGGCAGAGGTGGAGTTTGGACTCAATTAATTCCGGGAGCCTGGACCAAACCCATTCTTAGATTTTTTTCTGGGCCTTTCTTTTTCTTGGTGTTATGTTACATGAGAGGCCCCTGAAGGACAGAGAAGTTAATTACTTGCCCAAGATCACAGAGCTGTTTGGAGACATCTGTGATTTGACTCATATATGTACTCTTTCCACATCTTAAGACAGAAAAAACAAGCTCCATATGTTGTTGAAGGCATTTCTAATATTCCTATGTCAAGAGTGGTGAGTAGCAATTTAAAAAACCGGTTCGTCTGGTTGGTGTGGTACAGTGGTTGAGCATTGACCCATGCACCAAGAGGTTGCCGGTCGATTCCTGGTCAGGGCACATGCCCAGGTTGTGGGCCTGGTCCCCAGTGTGGGGCATACAGGAGGCGGCCAATCGATATTCTCTCTCATCAATGTTTCTATCTCTCTCTCCCTCTCACTTCCAAATCAATAAAGAAAAAAAAAATTTTAAAAATAGAAAACCTGTTTACCTGTCTAACCATACATTCTGATCAGGACTCTTGGTGGTCCCTAGGTCCTACTACCAGGGGTGTTATCAACATTCCAGGGAGGATAGGTAATGGAGCAATCTTCATTTATGTATTGGGGTAGGAATGTCCAGGGTTGGAAAGGTCCTGCAACCCTCACTTCAAAGGAGTAGATATTGCAGGAGAGTGTTCAAGAATATACAAACCAGTCAGGCCGGTGTGGCTCACTGGTTGAGCATTGACCCATGCTCCAAGAGGTCACTGGTTTGATTCCTGGCCAGGACACATGCCCAGGTTGTGGGTCCGGTCCCCAGTGTGGGGCATGCAGGAGGTGGCCAATCGGTGTTCTCTCTCATCGATGTTTCTATCTCTCTCTCCCTCTCATTTCCTCTCTCTTTAAAATCAATAAAGGAAAAACAAAAAAATATACACACTAAATGACAGGTCAAGTTCATGGCATTCCCTAATCATTTTTGAAATGCATTGTGTATAAAGTTTTAGTGCTGAATGGGACATGAAGAGAATATTCCCGGAGAAGGAACACATTTGAAAACAGTGAAAAGAGCTGAAACAGGGGTACAATGTATAAGGGAAGGAGACTTAAAGAAACATCTTTAATGTTCTTCAGGTCACAAAAAAAAGTGAGAAATTTAAATATTGCCAAAATGCATAGCCTTGAAAGTTAAAGATAAACAGAACATCCATTCTTGATAAAAACCCAAAACAAACCCTCTTAAGAAACCATGAAGAGAAAGGATAAAGGTTATTTGCCAGAAATCCACAGCAGATATTAATGGGTAAATTCAGAAATGCTCCTATTCAAATCAGAGGACACGGGTGAGTTGTTACCACTGGTGGCCAATGTAGACCTGCAGTCAGAGCCAGCACCACAAAACAAAATAAACAATTATATATGGAAAAGTAAAATTTGTCATTATTTTTGATTAAATGATTACCTAGAACCTCCAAGAAAATAAACTGACAAACTTTTAGAACTGGTAGAAGGGTTGGCCTGATTTAAAAAATCATTGGCTTGCCTGTACAATGATCAACTAGAAAATCTAGGAGTAAAATGTCCTATTTACAAGAAATACTATTAAATTCCTAGGAATGAATATGAGAGACCCGATCTCACTGTAAATAAAGAAATGCAAGTTAAAAGTAAGATACCATTTTTGATTTGTCAGATTGGCAAAAATGAAAAAAGGTTGGTAGTATCAAGTGTTGGAGAAGGCTTGGGTAATACATGCCTTTATACCTAATTCCTGTGGTGCAACCACTCCCTGTGGCCATTCCAAGTTGCCAACATGAACTGAATGTGGAATTGGGAAGAGATTTGCAAGCATAGCCTTATACAGATTCCTACCATAGAGATATAATAGACATAAATAACCTCTAGAGCATAGATTTACAATAAGATAATTAGGAAAGTGATGGTTTTTTAGTACTTATTATTTCTGTTTATAATATAATTTATTTAATTGTGAGTTTGTGTAATTAAAAAATTTTTTTTAAATCCTCACCTGAGCACATTTTTCGATATTTTGTCCAGATAGAGTGTGAGGGAGAGAGAGAGAGAGAGAGAGAGAGAGAGAGAGAGAGAGAGAGAAATATCGATGTGAAAGGGACACATCAAGTGGTTGCCACCCACACGACCCAACCAGGGCCGGGGAAAAACTGCAACCAAAGTACGTGCCCTTAGCGGGAACTGAACCTGGGTCTCTCCAGACCGCAGGCCTATGCTCTAACCGCTGAGCCAAACCGGCCAGGGCTAATTTAATTTTTTAATGATTGCTGTGTTTAACTATAGGATTACAAATTTGACAGTCAGTTCCTATGAGCTGGTCCATGTTGGCTCTAGCACACAGCTTCACCCATACTCTGTCTACATCTTTGTTCCGCAAAGTGTGATTTTTTGACCTGGGAACTTTTTAGAAATGCAGAACAAGATCCCTAGCTGATTTGAATGCACATTAAAGTTTGGGACACAGTGTTTGACTACCGTGTAGTAGTAAAAAATAATGTGAGGTCAATCTTTTTTTTTTTTTTTTTTAATCCTCACCCGAAGACATTTTTCCATTTTTTTTGTTCAGATAGAGTGGGAGGGAGAGAGAGGAAGAGAGAGAGAGAGAAACATCGACTGTGAAAGGAACACATCGAGTGGCTGCCACCCGCACGATCAACCAGGGTCAGGGACAAACTGCAACCGAGGTACATGCCCTTAGCGGGAACCGAACCCGGGTCTCTCTGGACCGCAGGCTGACTCTCTAACCACTGAGCCAAACTGGCCAGGGCTGTGAGGTCAATCTTTATGTATTATAGAAAAGTACTCCAAAATACATTGTTGAGTGAAAAAAAGCAAGTTGCAGAATAATATTTACAGGACATTTAGGTAAAATTTACACAATGAACTAATTTCTAGATTTTATAAAAATATACTTGTAAATGCATAGAAACAGGTTTAGAAGGAGAGTGGTCATTTCTGGACAAGGGAATGGTTTTGGATATGAAGTGGGAAGAACAAGTGGAATCTTAGCTATCTGAAAAGAGTTTCTGAGAATCATGCTTGCCCTCAGCCTCCTGAGAAAATCTTCCCCACCAGTCCTTAGCTGGTGTTTACAATGCTACCATTCCTTTATCTTTGTAGTTTAACAAGTGCTTGTGAGTTAACATTGCAATTGGTTACACACACTTCAGTGTGAGTTGATTTGATATGCATGTGTCTTCTGATCCATCAGTTTATAAGAGAACTTTCTAAGTGGTAATTTGTCACATAATTGTTAAGGGTGACTTGAGATACAGAAGACTTAAAGAATGCTGTAAGGAAGAGAAGGCAGGATGTGTGTGTGTGTGTGTGTGTGTGTGTACTGCCTCGTCTACTAAAATGGGTGCAGAGTGGGGCTGAATCAGATGATCTTGATTTCCTGATGCCAAAACAGCTCTGGGTATCTCATTGCTGTTAGATATCTTGGTGGTTTAAATGAATAAATAATTTGCTTTTGGGTATAAGGATGGGAACTTGCATAACACGGTACAATTTGTCCTCAACAGTGTTGTTGGAAGGGCACTTTAGTTTCCAAAACGTGTCTTCTGCTCAAGTTCTGTTTTCTAAGCAAGATGAAATTGATCAAGAACTACAACTCCCAGGGTGCCTTGGGGTGAGTAGCTCAGGCAAGATTATAATTTCCAACCAGTTATGGTCTAAGAAGGAGATTTAAAAAGTACTTTGTGGGGGTCAAGATGGCGGCGTAGGTAAACACGTTACTCACCTACTACCACAACCACATCAAAATTATAACTAAACTACAGAACCACTATCACTCAGAACTGCCTGACATCTGGCTGAATGCAAGTCCTACAAGTAAGGAATTAAAGAAGCCACATCAAGACTGGTAGGAGGGGCGTGGGGGCGTGGAGGCGTGGACTGGGCTGGTCCCACACCCACACCCACGTATAGTGGTTTTTAATCAGGAGGGATATATTGGCTGTAGAGGTCCCTTCTGAGGTTTTTAATCAGGAGGGATATATTGGCTGTAGAGGTCCCTTCTGAGGGGCAAGAAGCCCCAGCCCCCGCCAAACCTTTCAGCCCAGGGTTCCAGTGCCAGGAATAGAAGTCCCAGTATCTTTGGGCTGTAAAAACTGGGGATTGTGACTGAGTGACACAGATGCTTCTGGAGTCCCAGGCAGTTCCTCTTAAAGAGCCTGCACACGGATTTACTCAGACTCACTTCCTCTGAGCTCCAGCAATGGGGCAGCAGCTTGAAATGAACCAGGAACATATAAGGAGGAACTAAATTCTCTGGCAACAGGGCGAGAGCTGGTTGGGTGGGGGACAGATTTCTCCCAGAAAATAGTGCTGGCAGTGGCCATTGTTCCTTTGTTGAGCTCTCCCCACCAGGCATCATATCTGAGTCTCCATCAACTTGGCTCACATGCTTCGCCCCACCCAATTTGCAGGCTCATCCAAGATGTT